GACTTCGAATAACCCTCTATGGGTATTAATATTCGTTAATTTCTTAGATGCCTCATCTAATTCGACTTGAAGATAGGCATCCCGTAAATCTAATTGCGAAAAGACTTTGCTACCGTGCATTTCTGACCATATTTCTTGCGGAGTCGGCAATGGGTATTTGTTTAACTCTAATGCTTCATTTAAGCCTGTTGAATAGTCAATACAGACTCTGACCTTTCCGTTTTGTTTCCTGACTGCTAGAATAGGAGCAGCCCAATCCGCGAATTCGATTGGTTTAATTGCACCAATATTCAACAATCTGTCTATTTCTTCCTCAACTGACTTTTTGACTCCGAGCGGGACTGGTCTTGCTCTAATAAAGACTGGTTTTGTTCCCTTTTTCAAATGGAGATGTGCTTTTATTTTACTACAATTGCCTAATCCTGGTTCGAATACTTGACTAAATTTCGCCTTCAATTCCTCCTCTATACTTTTTTTACTGTCATGGACCATAAATACTTCATTTTCTTTTCCGACTATATCTTTAGGTTCCGCTTTGTTTAGACTTGTAACTATCGGGAATCCTAATTTGTTTTCGAATGCGACTATCCATGGCAGACCAAAGAGATTCATCCTTGCCTTAGTTACATAAACTACCATCTTTTCTTCGACTTCGTTAAGTCCGACTGTGCATTCAAAATTCCCGAGAATCGTAAACTCATGACCTGTATAACTTTTCCCAGAAAATTCGACTTCTGACAAGACTGGGCTTCCGACTAATTTCCACGTATCTTCAGTGATACAACTGATTTGTGCCCCCGAATCAAGAATAAACTCAACATTCACTCCATTTAATACAACATCTTTTTTTAGCCAATCGAATTTCTGGACTGTTCCGACTGATAGAATTTCTACTGTTTCTCTCTTTTCGAATTTAGACTTGTACCACTCATGAATTGTCTTTGCAAAACTCATTTTTGACTTGGTAGTTGACTACTCGATTTTATACGAGTTTAGCTGTGCGACCGCGCCACTGTTACGTATCGACTTGCGGTGTGTCCGATACTAACAGAAAGACTCGACTAACAAACAAAGGTTTATCACAAGCAACAATACAATAGAAATAGGCGAGACTATGCGTTGGCTCCGACTAGAATAACACTAAGACTAGACTGACTATAGACTAACAACTAACTCTCCGACTACTAAAAGGCTTCGCCTTTTATACTAAGCCGCCACCCTAACAGTGCCACAAACATTTAAATCTACTAGAACTGAACGTGGCGAACGACTTGAACAAATGGCAGAGGATTTTATGGATGAAGAAGTAATTTTTAATTTATTGTTAATTTTCTTAAAATTATTTTTGAGGATTTTGGCGAATTTGGAATTGCTTCGCGAAAGTACAACAACCTTTGCTCACTTGGTTGCTACAACTGTACTTTCTCGTGGTATTACTGAATTGGGAATCTATCCGACTGTTGACTCGTTGGACTCTACTTCTCGAATTATGGGTCCTAATATTGTTGGAAATCGTCATTATGGTTAAATTTTAACTATTTTAATTGTTTAAATATATTTTTTCCATTAAATGTTGCTCATGGTGTTCAACAAAATTCTCAAGACTACAAATCGCTTCAGGTTATTATTGCCTCCTTGGAATGGGTGAACTCTTCGAAGGCGATAAATTGACTGTCTCGCCGTGCTCGAAAGATTCAACTTTATCTTTCTCAGCCCTTCTAAGTTGCTGAAGTCATTACTGGACATAAGGGTAAATTCTTCAGTCTTGAACAGATTATTGATGGATTTGAAAAGATTTAGAGAGGTTTTTTCAGATTTATTTATTTTAATTAAAACAAATTTTTAGGAGAGATTGAGATCACATCCCGGAGGTGGCATTTTATATGCGGGAGATATAGATGATTCCACAAAAAGGCAGAGGAACTGGCGAAGAAATAGAGGATAGATTTGTTAAATAAAATTTTGAAAAAAGAAGATAGGCTGAATTTCTCTAGAAAATATAGATTAGATTAAAAATTTTTGTTTGTTTTTATTATAAATTTGGATCTTTTTCCGAGTAGCTTTTTTGTTAACAAAATTTTTCTATGTTAAAGTTGTTTGAGTTGAATATTCTTTTGGTGTTTAGATCTTCCAATCTCTAATATAGGATCATTTCTAAGCAATTGAAAGCTTTGTGTTGGCTAGTTAACCTTTTCTTCTTCACTTTAATAATAGCTAGTTGAATTTTACTAGGACAAGTTTAATTTGTGAGCTTCTCCTTTAAACCGAGGATGATGGAGGATAATTAGTTCGACAACCAATTAGCTATATTCACGTGTTCAAAATATCATATTTATCGAAAATAAGTAAATTAACCTGTAAAATTTTACGCTTATGTACGAAATGAAAATATTTTCACTGTGGACGAAGTGTACTATGGACGTGTTTCATTTTGGCGAAGTGTTATTATTTTTCGAAGTATAAATTCACGAAAGTTATAAACTTCATCGTTTATTATTCACATGAATTTATTTCCATTTCTTTTTTGAAAACACCTTCAAATCAATAAAAATTTCTTTTAATGGTTCCTTCAAATATTTTTATTATAGTATTATTTAGCCAATTATATTTTATTTAAAATGTTCAATCTTATTCAAAAAATTATTCTAAGCAAACCTGCAAAAATGATCAATTCATTTGCAATGGCGCGTGATTTGAAAATGATCGTCCGGTATAATCTTTAGATTTTAAAATCTTTAAAAAATTTTTAATTGAAATTTAGTCCAAATGCTTTGGCCATTCGTCCGTTTCAAAGCAGCGTTTTGCTCTTCTCCTCTTCAAGTTCAACAGTTCCTGAGGGTGTTAATGTGCGTGCCCGTGGCTATCCGACTTATCTCCATAAGGTTTCAATTTGAACTCTGATCGTCATTATTATATTCGATTTAATTTTTAGGGGCCTTCGTCTTTGGTTAGTTGGACAACCGTTCTATCTGCCTGGACGAGTTTCGTCGTCATTTCGCTGACTACTTTGGCTCTTGCCATAACAGGAGCGATTTTCTTCTTCAATACATTTGAGAAGCTGGCTAAGAAAGAAGATCTCAAAGCAATGGATCTCAAGCTTGAACGCTATGGACGTGAAGGAGTTGCAACAAAGGAGGATGTCAAAGGAACAAAGGAGGATGTCAAAGAAATTTTAAAAATTTTGGAGAAGAAAAATTGAATTTTTGGTGATTTCTAGCATCCACAAAATTGATGCTTTTTTTTTTGTTAAAATAAAATTTGTTATCTAATTTTGGATTGATTCATTGTTAGGGTTCTCAAGTTCCGCGTTGATTTGAATTATTTCTTTTTTTGGTTATTAGTCCACTAGCACCAAGTTGATTGAGTCCTTTGTATTTCATTGCTCAACAGGTCGATGCATTTTTTAAATTGAATACATTTAATTTTTAAATTTTTTGTGTTTACTCCTTTTTTCGTTGTTGGGGATTTCGCTGTTTCTGCATTTATCCGAGATTTGATTAGTTTGTCTCGATTTTATCTTTATCCTCTATTTTGTCTCAGATTATTTTTTAGCCTGCCCCCCTCTCTCTTATCGGTTGTAGAGACCGGCATGGGAGGGATCCCGCGCGGGATTTTGCGGGATACCGCTCCCGCAATCCCACACTTTCGATTTGCGGGAAATTCCGCGAGAGTTAATTATTCCCGCGGGAGTTATTCCCGCAAGTTTTTTTAAAATTTACTCTCGCATGATTTTTCCGGTCTTTTTAACTAACGTTTTATCCTTTCATTTTATCCTTTAAGCTTTAACGGAAAATTAAAAATAATTTTATAAAAACAATGGCGGATGATGGAGTTGTGCTGGACGACATTGCTATGGATGAGACTGCTCCAGATGCCGAATGTAATTTTATTTTTATAATTTTAATTAAAATTTTATTTTCAGAGGACGAAATTAGAAAGGGAGTCTCTAAAAGGAAGGGACGTGGCTTTGAAGGATCTCAAAAGAGTAATGTGAAGGAATATGAAACGCTTGGTGATGATGGTTTTTATGGGCCGCAGCGTTCTGTTGAGGTTTTTTTTAATTTTTACAAAATTTGTAATTAATATTTATTGTTAGGGTTGGATAATTTTTGTTACAAATGTCCATGAAGAAGCGCAGGAGGAAGATGGTATTTTTAATATAATTTTTTAAAAAGAATTCTTTTAAATTTTTAGTAAAAGATCTCTTCAAAGATTATGGAAATGTATTAAATATGCATTTAAATCTTGATCGACGAACTGGCTACTTTAAAGGTTATGCAATTGTTCAATTTGAGACGCAAAAGGAAGCAGCTGATGCTATTGCTGGATGTTTGTTAATTTTTGTTATATGTAGGAATCTAAGATTTCAAATCCAATTTAAAATTTGAAATTTCTACTAGAGATCAAGCTGGGCCTGAACCAAGGCCTGGGGTTTTCCTGGACTACAGGCCCAAAACCCGGCCCATGCCAATAAATCAAACCCGGAACCCAGGGGAATCCATTCAAAAATCTTGATCTCTAATTTCTACCAATCTCTTATTTTGCTTAAATTTTAATTTTTTAAATAATTTTAGTGAATGGCTATGACTTTCTTGGTCAAGAATTATCAGCCGATTGGTGCTTTGTTAAGGGAGGTCGTGACAAGAGACGTTAAAAAACGAATTTTTTCGATTAATTTCTCTTAAGTATATACACTCATTTTATTTTTTAAATGATTTGGTTGAGTGCATCTTTACAAGATATTTTGATTTTTTTGTTAAAATTTTGCTTTCTGTTGGTGGTGACATTAATATTTTGAAATGTTTAAATTTTTCGATTTTAATTATTTGATTAAAAACTCGATAGATCGCCAATTTTTTGCTGATTTTTTTATTTACAATTAAAATTGAATCTTGAAATGAATATTTACATACAAGTTAAAATGCTTGTTTTATTTTTATTGATTATTTAATTTTATTAATTTTTTTTGTTAGATTTAAATCATTGAATGTATTTTTTAATCTAAAATGGTTTATGGAACACCTTTTGAGCAGTTGGAGGATGAAGCAAGTAAGTAGCAAATTGAAAATATATTTTTTGAGCCAATAAATTTGATTGGGGGAGTTCTCCATTTAAACTCATTAAAGGGCTAAATTTTCGTTATCAAAGCACGGCTTTTATTTTTTGAGAATAATTACAAGATAAATACTAATTGCAAACAAAAATTTAATATTTTATCTTTTAACAGAATCAGCTGTTTCAAAGAAACCAAAAGGCATTCAAGATGAAATTGTGACAGACGAACGTGGTCGACGTCGCTTTCATGGAGCTTTTACTGGAGGCTTTTCTGCTGGATATTTTAATACTGCTGGGTCCAAACATGGTTGTTTTATTATTTTAATTTAAAAAATCAAAAAATAGGTTGGGTGCCACAAACATTTAAATCTACTAGAACTGAACGTGGCGAACGACTTGAACAAATGGCAGAGGATTTTATGGATGAAGAAGTAACTTTTAATTTATTGTTAATTTTCTTAAAATTATTTTTGAGGATTTTGGCGAATTTGGAATTGCTTCGCGAAAGTACAACAACCTTTGCTCACTTGGTTGCTACAACTGTACTTTCTCGTGGTATTACTGAATTGGGAATCTATCCGACTGTTGACCCGTTGGACTCTACTTCTCGAATTATGGGTCCTAATATTGTTGGAAATCGTCATTATGGTTAAATTTTAACTATTTTAATTGTTTAAATATATTTTTTCCATTAAATGTTGCTCATGGTGTTCAACAAAATTCTCAAGACTACAAATCGCTTCAGGTTATTATTGCCTCCTTGGAATGGGTGAACTCTTCGAAGGCGATAAATTGACTGTCTCGCCGTGCTCGAAAGATTCAACTTTATCTTTCTCAGCCCTTCTAAGTTGCTGAAGTCATTACTGGACATAAGGGTAAATTCTTCAGTCTTGAACAGATTATTGATGGATTTGAAAAGATTTAGAGAGGTTTTTTCAGATTTATTTATTTTAATTAAAACAAATTTTTAGGAGAGATGGAGATCACATCCCGGAGGTGGAATTTTATATGCGGGAGATATAGATGATTCCACAAAAAGGCAGAGGAACTGGCGAAGCAATAGAGGATAGATTTGTTAAATAAAATTTTGAAAAAAGATAGGTTGAATTTCTCTAGAAAATATACATAGATTAAATTAAAAAATTTTTGATTGTTTTTATTATAAATTTGGATCTTTTTCCGAGTAGATTTTTTGTTAACAAAATTTTTCTATGTTGAAGTTGTTTGAGTTGAATATTCTTTTGGTGGTTAGATCTTCCGATCTCTAATATAGGATCATTTCTAAGCAATTGAAAGCTTTGTGTTGGCTAGTTAACCTTTTCTTCTTCACTTTAATAATAGCTAGTTGATTTTATTGGGACAAGTTTAATCTGTGAGCTTCTCCTTTAAACCGAAGATGATGGAGGATAATTAGTTCGACAACCAATTAGCTATATTCACGTGTTCAAAATAACATATTTATCGAAAATAGGTAAATTAACCTGTAAAATTTTACGCTTATGTACGAAATGAAAATATTTTCAATGTGGACGAAGTGTACTGTGGACGTGTTTCACTTTGGCGAAGTGTGTATTATTTTTCGAAATATCAATTCGTAAAGTTATAAACTTTCGTCGTTTATTGTTTAAATGAACTTATTTCCATTTTTTTTGAAAACTCCTTCGAATCAATAAAAATTTCTTTTAATGATTATTTTAAGTATTTTTATTATTTAGCCAATTCTATTTTATTTAAAATGTTCAATCTTATTCAAAAAATTGTTCTAAGCAAACCTGCAAAAATGATCAATTCATTTGCAATGGCGCATGATTTGAAAATGCTCGTCCGGTATAATCTTTAGATTTCAGAATCTTTAAAAAATTTTAATTAAAATTATTTAGTCCAAACATTTTGGCAAGTCGTCCGTTTCAAATTAGCGTTTTGCGCTTCACCTCTTCAAGTTCATCAGTTCCTAGCGGTGCTAATTTTCGTGGCCGCAGCTTTCCGACTCATCTCCAAAAGGTTTCAATTTGAACTCTGATCGTCATTATTATATTCGATTTAATTTTTAGGGGCCTTCGTCTTTGGTTAGTTGGACAACCGTTCTATCTGCCTGGACGAGTTTCGTCGTCATTTCGCTGACTACTTTGGCTCTTGCCATAACAGGAGCGATTTTCTTCTTCAATACATTTGATAAGCTGGCTAAGAAAGAAGATCTCAAAGCAATGGATCTCAAGCTTGAACGCTATGGACGTGAAGGAGTTGAGAAAATGGCAACAAAGGAGAATGTCAAAGAAATTTTAAAAATTTTGGAGAAGAAAAATTGAATTTTTGGTGATTTCTAGCATCCACAAAATTGATGCTTTTTTTTTGTTAAAATAAAATTTGTTATCTAATTTTGGATTGATTCATTGTTAGGGTTCTCAAGTTCCGCGTTGATTTGAATTATTTCTTTTTTTGGTTATTAGTCCACTAGCACCAAGTTGATTGAGTCCTTTGTATTTCATTGCTCAACAGGTCGATGCATTTTTTAAATTGAATACATTTAATTTTTAAATTTTTTGTGTTTACTCCTTTTTTCGTTGTTGGGGATTTCGCTGTTTCTGCATTTATCCGAGATTTGATTAGTTTGTCTCGATTTTATCTTTATCCTCTATTTTGTCTCAGATTATTTTTTAGCCTGCCCCCCTCTCTCTTATCGGTTGTAGAGACCGGCATGGGAGGGATCCCGCGCGGGATTTTGCGGGATACCGCTCCCGCAATCCCACACTTTCGATTTGCGGGAAATTCCGCGAGAGTTAATTATTCCCGCGGGAGTTATTCCCGCAAGTTTTTTTAAAATTTACTCTCGCATGATTTTTCCGGTCTTTTTAACTAACGTTTTATCCTTTCATTTTATCCTTTAAGCTTTAACGGAAAATTAAAAATAATTTTATAAAAACAATGGCGGACGATGGAGTTGTGCTGGACGACATTGCTATGGATGAGACCGCTCCAGATGCTGAATGTAATTTTATTTTTATAATTTTAATTAAAATTTTATTTTCAGAGGACGAAATTAGAAAGGGAGTCTCTAAAAGGAAGGGACGTGGCTTTGAAGGATCTCAAAAGAGTAATGTGAAGGAATATGAAACGCTTGGTGATGATGGTTTTTATGGGCCGCAGCGTTCTGTTGAGGTTTTTTTTAATTTTTACAAAATTTGTAATTAATATTTATTGTTAGGGTTGGATAATTTTTGTTACAAATGTCCATGAAGAAGCGCAGGAGGAAGATGGTATTTTTAATATAATTTTTTAAAAAGAATTCTTTTAAATTTTTAGTAAAAGATCTCTTCAAAGATTATGGAAATGTATTAAATATGCATTTAAATCTTGATCGACGAACTGGCTACTTTAAAGGTTATGCAATTGTTCAATTTGAGACGCAAAAGGAAGCAGCTGATGCTATTGCTGGATGTTTGTTAATTTTTGTTATATGTAGGAATCTAAGATTTCAAATCCAATTTAAAATTTGAAATTTCTACTAGAGATCAAGCTGGGCCTGAACCAAGGCCTGGGGTTTTCCTGGACTACAGGCCCAAAACCCGGCCCATGCCAATAAATCAAACCCGGAACCCAGGGGAATCCATTCAAAAATCTTGATCTCTAATTTCTACCAATCTCTTATTTTGCTTAAATTTTAATTTTTTAAATAATTTTAGTGAATGGCTATGACTTTCTTGGTCAAGAATTATCAGCCGATTGGTGCTTTGTTAAGGGAGGTCGTGACAAGAGACGTTAAAAAACGAATTTTTTCGATTAATTTCTCTTAAGTATATACACTCATTTTATTTTTTAAATGATTTGGTTGAGTGCATCTTTACAAGATATTTTGATTTTTTTGTTAAAATTTTGCTTTCTGTTGGTGGTGACATTAATATTTTGAAATGTTTAAATTTTTCGATTTTAATTATTTGATTAAAAACTCGATAGATCGCCAATTTTTTGCTGATTTTTTTATTTACAATTAAAATTGAATCTTGAAATGAATATTTACATACAAGTTAAAATGCTTGTTTTATTTTTATTGATTATTTAATTTTATTAATTTTTTTTGTTAGATTTAAATCATTGAATGTATTTTTTAATCTAAAATGGTTTATGGAACACCTTTTGAGCAGTTGGAGGATGAAGCAAGTAAGTAGCAAATTGAAAATATATTTTTTGAGCCAATAAATTTGATTGGGGGAGTTCTCCATTTAAACTCATTAAAGGGCTAAATTTTCGTTATCAAAGCACGGCTTTTATTTTTTGAGAATAATTACAAGATAAATACTAATTGCAAACAAAAATTTAATATTTTATCTTTTAACAGAATCAGCTGTTTCAAAGAAACCAAAAGGCATTCAAGATGAAATTGTGACAGACGAACGTGGTCGACGTCGCTTTCATGGAGCTTTTACTGGAGGCTTTTCTGCTGGATATTTTAATACTGCTGGGTCCAAACATGGTTGTTTTATTATTTTAATTTAAAAAATCAAAAAATAGGTTGGGTGCCACAAACATTTAAATCTACTAGAACTGAACGTGGCGAACGACTTGAACAAATGGCAGAGGATTTTATGGATGAAGAAGTAACTTTTAATTTATTGTTAATTTTCTTAAAATTATTTTTGAGGATTTTGGCGAATTTGGAATTGCTTCGCGAAAATTTCGAACAAAATCTGATTTTATGGACACATTGGCTGCACCCGGCGAAGAGCGTTTATTCGCATGGGAAAGAGCTGGAACGTCGACTAGTAATTTTGTTGGGAATGAAGGAAGTCTGGCAAATAAATTAAATTCTTTACTTCGACCTGTGAAGTAAAAGAAATTTTTTAAATTTAAAATTAAAATATTTTTCAGTGATTCAATAGGAATACGTATTCTTCGCAAAATGGGTTGGCGACCAGGAAAAGGAGTTGGTGCAAAAATGACTCGCCGCGCATTAGAGAGACAGAAATGTATTTTTAATATTATTTTCTAACTAAAAGTTATTTTTTAAGTAATTGATGCAAAAAATTCTGGGAAAGAGGCTGAATTTGATGAAGAAACTGTTCGAGATATTGAAGAAATAATTCCAACAGCAGAATTTTCTCCAGATGATATTAAACCCGTGGAAATTTGTCAAAAAGAAGATGTTCATGGAATGGGTTATAAACCTTTACAGGAAATTGGTGTTCTTTCAGAGAAATATGGAAGAGTAACTGCTTCATTGAAGAAAACTAAATGTAGTGGAAAAGGAATTAGAGGGCAGGTAAATGATGAATTTTTTTTAAATTTTAATGGGTGGCTTGCTTGTCCCATGGCCTTGTCCCAATTCAACCCTCTAAAGGAAATCGACTAACTATCTTCCGATTTTGGTAAAAATTCCACCTATTGTAAAATTCCTCTTTTACATTCTTTGCTATTTTTCTCTCTAAAATATTTTTAAAAAGGCATTTGGTGTTGGTGCATTTGAAGAGGATGATGAAGATATTTATACTAATTATGATTTGACACAATACGATTTTGAAGTTGGTTCTACTCAATCAACACAACTTAATGTGCCTAAATGTTAGTGTTTTTGTTATTTAATTTTAAATTAATTTTTTTAGTTGATTCAACTTTCATTCCATCATCTAGCACTATGCAAGGCAAAAATTCGTTAAAATCTCAGAAATTTTTTGTTGCTGATACACCTCCTCCTGGCTGGCGGCCAAGTACAAACAGAACAAAATCATTACTTTTTTCTGGAAGAAAGGAAATTTCTAAAAAATTACCTGAAGCTATTGCAAAAATTGGCAATCAATTAACTCCCTTCCAAAGGGCTAAACTTCTTGGGGAGCGTGATCATTCAGTGATGGAAATGTTAAGTAATGAACAGAGAGCTAAATTAAAAATAAATAATTTTGTTATTTCTGATGGGTCTAAAAATGATAATGTAATGAATTTTTGAAATAATTTTTAAAGATTATTTAATAGAGAGAACATCATTCAAAACATATTCATGATCGTCACAGAATGCATCATGGTTTAACAGCACAGCCATTTGAAGAGGAGCCATTAAAGGCTCATAGATTTCGTCAATATGTTAGCTATCTTAAAAGAGGTAAAGTTATAATTTTGAATATTTTAATTATTTTTTTTGTTATTTATCAGGTATTCCATTTATTCAACCTCCAGAAATGACACTTTTACAATGGGAAAGTGAAAAAGCAGACTTTGAAGAAGCACTCCCATCTGAGTTACGTGTTCTTCTTAAAGATGTTCAAGAAAGACAAAAGCCCTTAGCCAGACTGGATTTTGCTCGCCCAATAGCTGAACATTTAAAAAATCGCTTTGCGCGTGAATCTGGCGTAGATAAAGAGGACTACGAGGAACAAATAAAACATGAAGTGAGTTTATTTCTTTTAAAGAATATATTCCTTTTTATTAATTATTAATTTAATTTTTTAAGTCCTTCATAAAGTCTAATCCACAACTAAAAGCTGTTGGTTCTAATCAGTTTGGGGCTGCTACCCGTCAACTTCACGAATGGCATCCTGCTCCAGACCTATGCAAACGTTTCAATATCTCTAATCCATACCCAGATTCTCAAATACTTGGTGTTCCTGGATTGAGTGGACAACGTTATGGAGGCCAAAAGGATTATTCTTCTGAATATTCTTTAATTGAATTAGCTGGAAATTTGGGAGGGAAAAGTTCGACAGATGGGCAACATAGAAGGCATCCTTCTCGATTTGATCAAACATCCGGAAATGAACAACAACACCCGTCTATACCATTAATAAAAAATGAAGTGAAGGAAACAACTGAAGAAAAGGTAAAATGAATTTGTTGATAAATTTTTGAATTTAAAAACTTTAATTATTTAGATAAATTCTCAAAAGAAAATTGAGTATGCTCCGATAGTTTTATTATCGGCTATTTTTGGAGATGACGATATTGAAGATGACGAAACTCAAAAAGAAGACGAAGAAGATGAAGAGGCACTTATTCATTTACCAAAGAAAAAACCAGAAAAAGAAATTAAAAAAGAAGATGAACAAAAACAAGAAAGGCCAATTATTTCAAAAGAAAGTATTATTACAATTTTGGATATTGTAGAGGATGATAATGTTTATGGACCAGCAATGCCTCCAACTGAATTTTTGGAAGAAAAATGCAATCAAGTATTTATTATTTACTTAGGCTTTTATTTACAATAATAATTTTAGGAGAACAACTTTCAATTAGAAATAAAAAATGGTTTTTCTGTTAATGATATTATAACAATTGAAAGTGGAATTGATGATAATAGTGACGATAGTGATGATGATAGTTCTGATTCGGAAGAAGAAGAGAGAAGGAGACGTAAGAAAGAGAAGAAGAGGAAGAAGAAAATGAAGAAGAAAGAAAAGAAACTTGAAAGAAAGAAGAAACGTCTTGAGAAAAAGAAACATTAGAAGAATTTTATTTTTTCAATCTTTATTTTAATATTTTATTAAATTATTTAAAAATAGAGGACATAAAAATTAATCAAATTTTCAATCGAAGGAACTCTTCTTAAATTCAAACATTCGCCTTTATTTTTTTACTCAAAATATAGCCAGATGACTTGTAATTTCCTTGTTTTCAAGTCTTTTAAAGATAAAAAATCACTTGGATAACTACTTACATATAACCTTTTCAAAGCTCTTAGAGCACATTTGACGGAAGTAAAAAAGCGCAATACTTCACAATATTGATTACGACAATTTTTTATTTAAAAAACGAGAAAAATAAATGAGAGAGTTAGGTAGATATTATTAAAACAAAAGTGGATTGAAGTTTAAAGGGTTTAAGAGCGGCTGCTAGAAAATGGAGAGGGAAATTGGACTTTAAAGTTGGATTTTTTCTGATTGACTTGCAAGGATATATTATTGCTTGATGGGAAAAAATGAAAGGAGAACAGATGAGAAAATTAAAAATAAAAGAAATTGAGTATTTAATTCTTCTCAAGATTATCTTCGAACTGATTCAAGGGACGTCAATTTCTTGCGGGTAATAAATAAATTTATGAAAAATGTTTAAAAATAATTTTTAAATTAATTTAAAATTAAAATTAATTTTTGTATATCATACAAATAATTTTTAGTTTATTGAAATTTTTGCAACGCAAAAATGAGAAATTATTTTGATGATAAACTACTTTTGTTCTTTACATTAATAGTTATGTTAATGAGCTTTTCAATTAATGCAGGTATTTAAAATAAATTAGAGAATTTTTAACTAATAATTTTGTTTAATTCCTTTATAAAAAAATCTGTTAATAAATAAAAATAAAAAATTAAAGAATTCCAATCATTGTTGATTTTTACAACAAGAAATGAAAAAGAAAAAGGTGAAGAAAATTCTCCATTATTAGATGATTTAGAATGGCATAAAATGAATTCATTTCAATCAAGCATTAATGGTTGTAATTTATAAAAAAATTTAATTAATTATTTATGTAGATTTTGGACATACTTTTTGGAAAATATTTTTATTAAGAGGAGAATCAGAACCTTTATTTGTGGACATACAATCTGCAATTCAATATGATGATCGAACAAAAGTTATTGTTGGTTAGAAAATTAAAAATTTTGCTATTTTCCGAGAGTTATATATTGTGATCAGTGATGGTAAGGTCCCAATTCCGGAACTGGAACCGTGGAACCGGTAATGGCCTGGAACCGGCTTGGAACTGGAACCGAGGAAATTCGAAAGGCATTTCTAGACCTGGAACCGGTTCCAGAGAAATTTTGGAACTTTTCCATCACTGATTTTGATATGGAAATAATATTTTAAAATAAACTGGATTTAACTTGAATTTGGAATACTAAATAAAAAAGAATAAATTAAGGGAGAAACCAAAAATAAAAATAAATTTATAAAATATTTTAATTAAAAAATATACAGTAAGGTGCAAAAGTTTATGCCGCTACACCTTGCACGCAGAAAAGTCGATTTATCTCAGGAAGAAAAGGGACTTAAATAAAATCGATTATATATTAATTAAATATAGTTCATCCTTTATAATATCCATAAAAAATTTTTTTAATAACCACGTTATTTTAAAATTTATTCGGTCATAACTTATTTACCTCACATTTTGGGGGAGCAAAAGTTTATGCCGCTTGTAGGAAAAAAATTTTTTTGGTTCCAAAACAAGACGAAAAAAATTACAAATTTTTTTATAAATATTTCCATTGATAATGAATGGAAAAAGAGAAAAAACGAAGTCTATACTTGCTTTATTCATTGAGATCCCAAATCTCAAAAATCAACGGGAAATGAGGTTACAGTACTTGAAAAAATATTTAAGCTCCCTAGGGCCTGTATCAGAAATTCTTTTTGGGCTCATTAGAAAGCCCATAAAATTTGCTACAAACTACACTTGGTCTCATATCTGTGAAAAATTTCATCTTCGAGATAGGGTCGCATGAATTCACAAGGTTGTCAAAATCACCCGAAATACCCTATAAAATGCTCATTTTTATTACTTCAGTGATTAATGCAACCCTATCTCCGAGTTGAAATTTTTCAAACATAGGAGATCAAACATATTTTGTAGTAAATTTTATGGGCTTTCAAATGAGCCTAAAACAAAAATTTTAAAAAATCTGTAAGGGGTCGAAAATAATTTTTTAATTACTGTACCCCGATTTTACGTTGATTTTTGAGATTTTGGATATTGACTAAAAAATTATTTAGTGAATTAATTCTTTTTGCTTTTCCATTTAATATCAATAAAAATGTTTATAAAAAAGTTTTAAACTTTTTTTGACTTGTTTTAGAACCAAAAAATTTTTTTTGCTGTAAGCGGCATAAACTTTTGCTCCCCCAAAATTTGAGGTATATGGGTTTTGACGCTTATAATTTTTGAATAGAATGTATATTGGAAATTTTTTTAATAAACTTTAGTAACACAATACCTACCCCTAAATAATATAAAATAGATTTAATTTAAGTCCCTTCTGTTCTTGAGATATATCGATTTCTTTGCCAGCAATGTGCAGCGGCATAAACTTTTGCACCTTACTGTATGTAGGTAATTCACAATCACCAAACGGCATAATTGACAGAATATTTTTAAGTCCATTCTGTTGGCGCAAAGGAGAAACAGAAGAACAATTAGCTTTTGTAATGTGCAATAGAAAATTAGATTTTCCTCTAGATGAAAGGGGGTGGCAAATAAATGAAAAAATTGAAGTTGGAAATGTTGGAAGAAGATCTGATGCTTTAATGAAGAAGGAAAAAGGGGGAAGTGTTTGGATTGATTTATTTACATTTTCTGGTGTTCCTATGGTTTCTGCTTCAACAATAACATCAAAAAATAATGAAAAGAAAATAATTGAAAAAGAAGAAGAAGAAGAAAATGAAATAATAAATGAACAAAAAAGGAAGAAAAGTAAAAGAAGAACAAACAAATTAGATGATGATGAGGAAGAGATTAGGAAGGGAAGTGTCCATGAAGATGTAAGGAGTTAATATTTAGAAAGGAATTTTTATTACTTATTTAAAAATATTTTTATTTGAAAATAATTTAAATTTTAAATGAATTTTTTTAGGAAAATGAAGAACAAGAAAAAGTAAATAGTAAAAAACGTCAAAGGCGAAGAAGAAAGTATGATAGGAAAGTAAAGGAAGAAAATGAAGAGAACATTGAAGAAGGAAATGACGAAGAGAATTATGAAAAGGTTGAAGGGGGTAAACAGGATAATGAGATAGAAGAAGATACAAACAATGATGAGGAAAAAAATAATGAAGAGGTAATTGAGGAAGAGGTTGATAAGGAGGAAAAAGAAAATAATGGAGAAGAGGTTGATGAAGAAAATAAGGAAGAAGGAGATGAAGGTAAAGATGAAGGAGATGAGGAGGATAAAGACGAGACTGAAGATGAGGAGGATGAGGAAGATGATGAAGTAAATGGAGAAGATGGAAAAGAAAATGAAGACGATGAGGATGATAATAATGATAAAGATGATAATGAGCCTGATTCTACATTAAGTATTGCAGATAAAAAAAGAATGTGCCGTTATCGGTTATCTTGTTATGCTGATAAGGGAATTAAAATTCCAGGAAAATATGGAGGGAAGGAACAGAAACAAGAAAATGGGGAATATATTTCATCTGGGAAGAGAACACTTGGGGGAACAAAACTTAAAATTGTTGATGTTGAAAAGAAGGCAACATTAAAGGATGCAGCAAAACAAGTAAATAAATATTTAAATGAATTTTTAAAAATAAATTAATTAGGCAGTAAAAAAAGTACGTCAACAAGAAGCAGAAGGAGAAGTACTTCGAGAGAAATATGTATATGATGGTGAACGAGTACTTGCTGATTTTTGGGCAGAATTGGAACGGAAAAATCGTTGTAAATATAGAAGAAGCTGTTATTTAAGTGGAAAATTACCAGAAATTAAACAAAGCGAAATTTTACAGTGGTTAGGAAGTTTTGGAAGTAGTGGATTTTGGAAAGGAGAAAGAGAAGAGGAAAATGAGGAAGAGGAGAGGGATGAAGATGGGGAAGAAGTTGAATTTGGTTAGATATTTTTTTGAATTATTTTAAAAAATATTAACATTAAACAGAAAATCTGAATGAATATGAGAGAAAATTATTTTGTCGATATAGAAATTCATGTTACAAAAATGGAATTAAACCAAAAATTATTAATAACTCGATAACTACATTTGGAATGAAAGAATGGAATTTTAACAATGTAATTAAAGATTTAAAAGAATGGTGGGGGTTTGAAATGGAAGGAAAACAAAAAATTGATAAAGAAGAGGGAAAACAAACAAAATTAGAATGTAAATATAGAAAAAGTTGTTATTCAAGTGGTAAATTACCTGAAGAACTTAGAATTGATAAAAATGAAGAAAAACAAACAATAACAAAAATTTTGGAGGGGAAAAAGGTTAAAATTTTAAACAATATATGAATTAATTAATATGTGAAAATTAGTTATTTAAACATGGGGTTAAAATCTCTTTAAAGTTAAAATTTAATATAGAGAACTTAATATTTAAACTCTCTCACAGACTTGATAAATTTCGGAAATTATCTGAGAGAGGAACTTTAGCTTACTGTCAACAACCAAAATTGGAAAATTTTCTATACCATGAGCAGGGTAGATTTAGTTTTTTGGATTTTGTTGGCTCTGATATAGGGAAATTAGAAACAAAAATTAGCGTTGTTTAGGCGAAAGAAGGTTCCATAAAAATTTTTAATTTGTTTGTAGACAATAAAGGGGGATCTATATTAATCATTTATTTCTTTAAAAAGGTGCCAACAAGCGTAAAAGAACTTAAATTATTTTGTAAATATCGAAAAAGTTGTTATGTTGCAAATGCAGCAATTCAACAAACGGAAATAATTGAAAAAGAAAAACAAAATAAAAATTTTACTGTAGCCAAGCCAATATGTCTCCACTTTCAAATTCTTATTCTATTAACGACAAACGTCAGAAATTAATCGATCAAATAACTGCATGTGATTTTAACAACACAGCAGCAATCGATTCCGATTCTTCAATTCCTGACTACGCAAAAATTTTAATCAAACAACTTGGTGGACTTCTTCAAACAGCAGTTCAACTACTTAATGAACAACCGTCAGCAAAAGATTACTATGAAGAGGAACGTCGACAACACACTATTGTCATCACAGGCCTTCCAGAATCGATTGACAACACTCCAACAAAACGGGCAGAAAATGACATCAAAACTGTTCATTCAATGCTGGATACGATTGGACTTGACAGTGAATTGCCGACCAATGTTTTCAGAATGGGAAAAAAGAAGGACGTTGGGAGCAGGTTATTAAAAGTTGAATTTCCGACGAAGTATGCCACTAGATTTTTTTTGAAAAATAAACATAAAATTAAATCTATCCCAATTTTTAAAAATGTTAATATCCGTGAATCATTATCACGGTCCCAACTTGACGCGCGCCATAAGCTCATTGCGTCATGCAATGAGCAGCGCAAGGCAACAGGCAAGGATTTTGTTGTTTATGCGGGGATGGTTGTCCTTCGGGACACCATTCCTGCAATTAGACAACAAAATCCTTAGCCTGTTGCCGGGGGAGTCACACCGTATTTAATTGACAAAAGCTATAGGATGTTATTAGATTTTTATAAGAATGTTTTTAGTCTTTTTAAAAATGTCTTTTTTCACCCTCCAGTTAATAACCTAAATCATAAAACTTTTCTAGATTCCAATAAATCTGTTACAGCCTATTTTATTAACTCTCGTTCAATTTGTAATAAACGTGATGAGCTATCTACTCTGCTTTTGAACTCTTCTCTTGATATTTTACTTATAGCCGAAACCTGGCTTCGAGACGCTGAACAAATTTCTTTTGACCCAGTAATAAATTCCAGGTTTACTTCCTTTACTTGTAATAGAAAAAATAGAATAGGTGGGGGCACTGCTATGTTAATCTGTAATGAGTTAAAACCTAGGCTTGTTTTTTCTGATTCTATTGGTGGTTGTGAAATATTAATAGTTAAAATCTTCTCCTTTAATATCTTCTGTATCTATCGCCCACCTAATATTGGAATATCTCATACTAAGCTGCTCTTCAAAACTTTAACTAGTAAAACAGATAAAAATTCCATTATTTGTGGTGATTTTAATTTTTCCAATAAGGACGTTCTATGGACAAATTCTATCCCTTTACCTAAATCCGCAACAGGGGAACTTTTTGTCTCATTTTTCAATAAAAACTGTCTTAAATTACACACTACTTCACCCACTCGCGGTCATTCATGGCTTGATCTTGTAATGTCTAATTGTAAAGACAGTATTACTAATTGCCAAACTTCTGATTCCATTCTCTCGTCTGACCATGCTGCTATTTGCTTCGATCTTTGTATTAATAAACCTAAGACTAAACAACCTATGATCTTTTGTAGAACATATGACAAACCAAATACAAAGCTATTAAATATCTATTTGTCCTCTATATTACCATCTACTTCTATTAGCAATTATACTATAGAGGACAAATATAATTCTTTTATTTCCAACATTCTAACTGCTAGAGATCAATTTTTACCTGGCACATATATTTCTAAATTCACTCCTAGATATCCAGCTTCGCTTAAAGCTTCTATAAAAGAAAAAGCACGTCTCTGGAAAATTATCTCTAAAGGTAAATCTGATTTAATACCACGTTACAATAGTCTAAATCTTCATGTTAAAATCCAAATAAGAAAATTTTATGCAAAACTTGAAAAAAATTATATCGAAAAAGATCCACTCAATATCTTTAAATATATTAATAGACATTCTAAAAACAACAATAACATTCCATCCTTATTGGTAGATGGTAATTATGTTTATGATGACAAACACAAATGTGAAATATTTGCTGGATCGTTTTTTCTAGATTCTGATACTAACTTTATTATTCCTGAACTCATTAATATTAATCCTAAATTTATCGATGATATTGAAATTGATTCTAGTAAATTATTAAAAATGTTAAATTCACTCCCTAACAAGGAAGGTCTATCACCTGATTTTATATCCTATAGATTTTTAAAGAATTGTTCTGTTTCTTTAGTTTCTTATATATCTGAACTTTTCAGAATTTCCCTTGACTCTGCTATACTTCCAAATATCTGGAAGGAATCTATAATAATTCCACTTTTTAAAAAAGGAAATAAGGAACTAGTTTCTAACTATCGTCCAATTTCTATTACTTGCTCATTATGCAGAGTAATGGAAAGATTTATCTTTAATGGAATCCTAGAATTTCTTTTAGAAAATAATATTATATCTCCTCATCAATTTGGATTTCTCCCAAGGAGATCCACTACTACACAACTGATCACTACCTTAGAAGATTGGTTCGATGGAATATTTTCTAATAAAAACATAGATTGCATTTATTTAGACCTTAGAAAAGCTTTTGATTCTATCCCACATGACTTACTTTTATATAAACTCTATAAAATTGGCGTTAGGGGTAAAATATACAATTGGATTAAAGAATTCTTAACAAATAGAAAATACCGTGTAAAAATCAATGATAGTTTTTCATCTTATTACAGTGCACCTTTGGGTGTACCACAAGGCTCTGTCCTTGGACCATTACTATTTATTATTTATATAAACGATCTTCCAGATATTATTCCAAAAGGCATATCTGTTAAATTATTTGCTGATGATATTAAGATATATTTAATTCATGATTCATTAAACCAATGTAATATACTAACTGAAACAATCACTAATATTGAACTTTGGTGTGATCAATGGGGTATTAATATTTCCTCAGATAAATCTTATGTTCTCTATCTTGGTAAAAATAACCAAATGCACAAATATAAAATTGGAGATAATATTATTATGGGTTTAGATTCTATAAGAGATTTAGGAATTATAATTGATAATAAATTATGCTTTCAAAAACATTTTGACACAATTGTTCGAAATGCTTATTATCGTATGAAAATTCTATTTAAAACTATTAGATCTAGGAGCATTAGAACTTGGACATTAGTCTATAAATCTTATATCAGACCCATACTTGAATATGCACCCGAAATCTGGAACCCTCATTTCAAAAAAGATATAATACAAATTGAAAAATGCCAAAAATTCTTTACGTCTATTGCTCTCAAAAAATGCATGTTACCTAAAATTCCTTATCCTGAAAGACTTCAACTTTTTGGATTGCAATCTCTTAATACCCGCAGAAAAATTTATGACCTCGTAACTGCATTTAAAATTATTAAAGGGTTTACCCATTTAGATCCTACTCACCTATACCGATTTTCTACTCATCCATCTCATAAACAATTTAATAGACTTATGTTTAAATGCAGATCCTCAAAAAACGTTCATTCCTTTGTTAATAGAAGCTCTTCACTATGGAATACCCTTGATAAAGTTACATTAAACTCCCACTCAATATTGTCCTTTAAACATAGAATTACTCAGCTATTTATAAACGAAATATAAAAAAAATAGACTAAATATAAAAATAAAAAATATGGTAATTTCCCCAAAAATCATTTACATAAAAATTTCTACATAAAAATCTAATAACTTAAATTAAATTATATGGTTACTACACTATCTATACATGTGTGGCTTCCCCAATACTCAATATAGTTAATTTTTTATACTAAAATCTAACTGTCAAATAATTAGAAAAAAATTATTACTTTTTTAGAAATTATTATATTTTACTATTAAATACATACCAATTTTTTTCTATTATTTTACAGTTGGAAAGACCTATCACAATATATTTTTTATTTATTTTTAAAAAAAAAATTTTTTTATTATTTATAATTGATGTTTTGTTTTTATGCATATCCTTTGACCTCCCATTCATGACTTTTTTTTTGACTTAAACTTTATTTAAATTTATCCAACAACGATGTTAGTGGACTCCCTTTCGTTGTATATTTTTAATTTTTGAATAAATAAAAAACTGAAGAAAAGGTAAAATGAATTTGTTGATAAATTTTTGAATTTAAAAACTTTAATTATTTAGATAAATTCTCAAAAGAAAATTGAGTATGCTCCGATAGTTTTATTATCGGCTATTTTTGGAGATGACGATATTGAAGATGACGAAACTCAAAAAGAAGACGAAGAAGATGAAGAGGCACTTATTCATTTACCAAAGAAAAAACCAGAAAAAGAAATTAAAAAAGAAGATGAACAAAAACAAGAAAGGCCAATTATTTCAAAAGAAAGTATTATTACAATTTTGGATATTGTAGAGGATGATAATGTTTATGGACCAGCAATGCCTCCAACTGAATTTTTGGAAGAAAAATGCAATCAAGTATTTATTATTTACTTAGGCTTTTATTTACAATAATAATTTTAGGAGAACAACTTTCAATTAGAAATAAAAAATGGTTTTTCTGTTAATGATATTATAACAATTGAAAGTGGAATTGATGATAATAGTGACGATAGTGATGATGATAGTTCTGATTCGGAAGAAGAAGAGAGAAGGAGACGTAAGAAAGAGAAGAAGAGGAAGAAGAAAATGAAGAAGAAAGAAAAGAAACTTGAAAGAAAGAAGAAACGTCTTGAGAAAAAGAAACATTAGAAGAATTTTATTTTTTCAATCTTTATTTTAATATTTTATTAAATTATTTAAAAATAGAGGACATAAAAATTAATCAAATTTTCAATCGAAGGAACTCTTCTTAAATTCAAACATTCGCCTTTATTTTTTTACTCAAAATATAGCCAGATGACTTGTAATTTCCTTGTTTTCAAGTCTTTTAAAGATAAAAAATCACTTGGATAACTACTTACATATAACCTTTTCAAAGCTCTTAGAGCACATTTGACGGAAGTAAAAAAGCGCAATACTTCACAATATTGATTACGACAATTTTTTATTTAAAAAACGAGAAAAATAAATGAGAGAGTTAGGTAGATATTATTAAAACAAAAGTGGATTGAAGTTTAAAGGGTTTAAGAGCGGCTGCTAGAAAATGGAGAGGGAAATTGGACTTTAAAGTTGGATTTTTTCTGATTGACTTGCAAGGATATATTATTGCTTGATGGGAAAAAATGAAAGGAGAACAGATGAGAAAATTAAAAATAAAAGAAATTGAGTATTTAATTCTTCTCAAGATTATCTTCGAACTGATTCAAGGGACGTCAATTTCTTGCGGGTAATAAATAAATTTATGAAAAATGTTTAAAAATAATTTTTAAATTAATTTAAAATTAAAATTAATTTTTGTATATCATACAAATAATTTTTAGTTTATTGAAATTTTTGCAACGCAAAAATGAGAAATTATTTTGATGATAAACTACTTTTGTTCTTTACATTAATAGTTATGTTAATGAGCTTTTCAATTAATGCAGGTATTTAAAATAAATTAGAGAATTTTTAACTAATAATTTTGTTTAATTCCTTTATAAAAAAATCTGTTAATAAATAAAAATAAAAAATTAAAGAATTCCAATCATTGTTGATTTTTACAACAAGAAATGAAAAAGAAAAAGGTGAAGAAAATTCTCCATTATTAGATGATTTAGAATGGCATAAAATGAATTCATTTCAATCAAGCATTAATGGTTGTAATTTATAAAAAAATTTAATTAATTATTTATGTAGATTTTGGACATACTTTTTGGAAAATATTTTTATTAAGAGGAGAATCAGAACCTTTATTTGTGGACATACAATCTGCAATTCAATATGATGATCGAACAAAAGTTATTGTTGGTTAGAAAATTAAAAATTTTGCTATTTTCCGAGAGTTATATATTGTGATCAGTGATGGTAAGGTCCCAATTCCGGAACTGGAACCGTGGAACCGGTAATGGCCTGGAACCGGCTTGGAACTGGAACCGAGGAAATTCGAAAGGCATTTCTAGACCTGGAACCGGTTCCAGAGAAATTTTGGAACTTTTCCATCACTGATTTTGATATGGAAATAATATTTTAAAATAAACTGGATTTAACTTGAATTTGGAATACTAAATAAAAAAGAATAAATTAAGGGAGAAACCAAAAATAAAAATAAATTTATAAAATATTTTAATTAAAAAATATATGTAGGTAATTCACAATCACCAAACGGCATAATTGACAGAATATTTTTAAGTCCATTCTGTTGGCGCAAAGGAGAAACAGAAGAACAATTAGCTTTTGTAATGTGCAATAGAAAATTAGATTTTCCTCTAGATGAAAGGGGGTGGCAAATAAATGAAAAAATTGAAGTTGGAAATGTTGGAAGAAGATCTGATGCTTTAATGAAGAAGGAAAAAGGGGGAAGTGTTTGGATTGATTTATTTACATTTTCTGGTGTTCCTATGGTTTCTGCTTCAACAATAACATCAAAAAATAATGAAAAGAAAATAATTGAAAAAGAAGAAGAAGAAGAAAATGAAATAATAAATGAACAAAAAAGGAAGAAAAGTAAAAGAAGAACAAACAAATTAGATGATGATGAGGAAGAGATTAGGAAGGGAAGTGTCCATGAAGATGTAAGGAGTTAATATTTAGAAAGGAATTTTTATTACTTATTTAAAAATATTTTTATTTGAAAATAATTTAAATTTTAAATGAATTTTTTTAGGAAAATGAAGAACAAGAAAAAGTAAATAGTAAAAAACGTCAAAGGCGAAGAAGAAAGTATGATAGGGAAGTAAAGGAAGAAAATGAAGAGAACATTGAAGAAGGAAATGAGGAAGAAAATTATGAGAAGGTTGAAGGGGGTAAACAGGATAATGGGGTAGAAGAAGGTAAAAACAATGATGAGGAAAAAAGTAATGAAGAGGAAATTGAGGAAGAGGTTGATAAGGAGGAAAAAGAAAATGATGGAGAAGAGGTAGATGAAGAAAATGGGGAAGAAGGAGATGAAGGTAAAGATGAAGGAGATGAGGAGGATAAAGACGAGACTGAAGATGAGGAGGATAATGAAGGAAATGTTGGAGAAGACAGAAAAGAAAATGAAGACGATGAGGATGATAATAATGATGATGATAATGATGAGTTTGATTCTACATTAAGTATTGCAGATAAGAAGAGAATGTGCCGTTATCGTTTATCTTGTTATGCTGATAAGGGAATTAAAATTCCGGGAAAATATGGAGGGAAGGAACAAAAACAAGAAAATGGGGAATATATTCCATTTGGGAAGAGAACACTTGGGGGAACAAAACTTAAAATTGTTGATGTTGAAAAGAAGGCAACATTAAAGGATGCAGCAAAACAAGTAAATAAATATTTAAATGAATTTAAAAACAAATAAATTAATTAGGCAGTCAAAAAAGTCCGTCAACAAGAAGCAGAAGGAGAAGTACTTCGAGAGAAATATGTATATGACGGAGAACGAGTACTTGCTGATTTTTGGGCAGAATTGGAACGGAAAAATCGCTGTAAATATAGAAGAAGTTGCTATTTAAGTGGAAAATTACCAGAAATTAAACAAAGCGAAATTTTACAGTGGTTAGGAAGTTTTGGAAGTAGTGGATTTTGGAAGGGAGAAAGAGAAGAGGAAAATGAGGAGGAAGAGAGGGGTGAAGATGAAGAAGTTAAATTTGGTTAGATATTTTTTTGAATTATTTAAAAAAAATATTAAAATTAAACAGAAAATATGAGTGAATATGAGAAAAAATTATTTTGTCGATATAGAAATTCATGCTACAAAAATGGAATAAAACCAAAAATTAATAATAATTCGATAACTACATTTGGAATAAAAGAATGGAATTTTAACAATTTAATTGAAGATTTAAAAGGATGGTTGTGGGGTGGAATGGAAGGAAAACAAAAAATTGATAAAGAAGAGCCAAAACAAACAAAATTAGAATGTAAATATAGAAAAAGTTGTTATTCTAGTGGTAAATTACCTGAAGAACTTAGAATTGATAAAAATGAAGAAAAACAAACAATAACAAAAATTTTGGAGGGGAAAAAGGTTAAAATTAAAAAAAAAATTAGTTATTTAAACACGGGGAATTCTCTTTAAAGTTAAAATTTAATTAATATAGAGAACTTAATATTTAAACTCTCCTACAAACTTGATAAATTTTGGAAATTATTTGACAGAGGGACTTTAGCTTTACTGTCAACAACCAAATTGGAAAATTTTCTATACCATGAGCAGGGTAGATTTAGATTTTTGAATTTTGTTGGCTATGATATAGGGAAATTAGAAACAAAAATTAGCGTTGTTTAGGCGAAAGAAGGTGTCCATAAAAATTTTTAATTTGATTGGTGACAATAAAGGGGGATCTATATTAATCATTTATTTCTTTACAAAGGTGCCAACAAGCGTAAAAGAACTTAAATTGTTTTGTAAATATCGAAAAAGTTGTTATGTTGCAAATGCAGCAATTCAACAAACGGAAATAATTGAGAAAGAAGGAAATAAACAAAACAAAAATATTACTGTAGAGGAGAATAAATTAATAATTAATAAATCTATGAAGAACAGTTCGCCGCCAAAGGAAGAAAAGAAAAATAAAAAATTACCTAAAAATTCTTCTAAAAGAAAAATAAAAATTGAAGAAAAAGAAGAGGAAAATAAAAAAGAAAAAATTAAAAAGGATTGTTTTGTTGATAAAAAAAGAATTAAGGAAACAATACCTCCCCAAGAAGGATGTAAATTTATTGAAAGAAGAAAGGAAGAAGAATATAATGAAGGAGGGAATTTAGAAGAAGATAACGAAGAAGTAAAGAAGAGAAAAATGAAAAAATATATAGTAAATGAAGAAATTAATGAAATAAAAGAAGAAGAGAGGGAAGTGGAGGAGGAGGGGGAAGTGGAAGAAGAAAAGAAAGTAGAGGAGGAAGTGGAGGAAGAAGTGAAGAAAGAAGAAGAAGAGGAGGAAAAGGAAACAAAAAATAAAATAAGAAAAAATAAAAAATATAATATAGAAACAAAAGAAAATTTAGTTGAAGAGAAAAAACAATGGAAAAGAAGGAAAAGTTTAAATGAAGGTAAGGGGAAATTGATAAGAGAAAATATAATTTAATTTAAAAGATAAACCTTTATTTGATTGGAGAATATTAAGTAATTTATTATTAACGGGAAGTAAAGAACCACGTGAATTTGAAATTGAGGAATGGGAGAAAATGAGTGAAAAAGAAAGATTATTTCGATGCCGGCAAGTTTTGGAAATTAATTAATTTAATTTTAAAATTAATTTAAAAGATATCGATTGAGTTGTTATGATAAAATGAATAAAATTATGGGAGCAAAAAAAGAAAAATTTAAATTAAAAATTACAAAAACAACAAAAATTAAAGAGAAAAAAGAAGAAAATGAGGATAATAAATATTTAATAAGATCAAATAATATATTGGATAAAAATATAAAATTGGCTTGTAAATATAGAAAAAGTTGTTATGAAGGAATTGAAAATAATAATGATAGAGAGACAAAAATAATTGGAGGTACATAATTTTTTAAAAAATAATTTAATTTAACCAATTTTTTAAAAGAAAAAGAAGCAATAAAATCCCCTCTACCACCAACAATTAATTGGACAACAATAAATCCAGAAAAATGTAACAAATGGAGAATTTCATGTAGACAAGTACTTGGATTGCCAATAAAGGAAAAAGCACCGATTGGGCCAAATGGGAAAAGATTATGTCGAAAAAAGAAAGAAGAGGAAATCATAATTAAGGGAGGAAAAGCAATTAAATAGAAATTAATGTTAGAAATTCTGAATAATAAAAATATATAAATAAATATTTTTTAAAATAAAACCAGCAAGGGGATTAATTGACAAAATGAAAATAAAAATTAAGAAAAAGAATCTCAAAATATTATTGTTGACCAATCAACCTATTATTTTGATTTGGTTATCCAGAGTTCAGAATACACTTTACTGCAATATTCGAAAGACTACAAAATCTACTATAACTTTTTATTTTTTGTTTAAAAGAAAAATTAATAAAGAAATATAAAATAATTAATTATTTTCCATTAAAAAAATCCACAATTTTTTCCAAATCACATTCCCCCTTCAAAATATCCAATAATTCTCTAGTTTTATGTTTAACATTCTGTCCAAGCATTTTAAATTTATCAATATACAAATCTGTAATAATTCCAAGTATTCTATCCAGATGTATTTGTTGATTGTCTACTTCTTTATGCAAATGTTCGTAATTAGCTAATAATTGTTTTAACTCGGAATTTAAATAACTTAAATCTTCAAATGTTGCTTCAAGTTCCTTTAAATTTATTTTTAATTTACTTTAAAAATTGTTTTGACTTTTAACTCCCATTACCTATTTCCAGTAAATTTAGGGTTGTCCACTCGAAAACCGGGTTTCTAAAATTTGGATTAAACGAAAACCGTGGGTACCGGTTAATAACCGGTAGTGAACAACCCTAGTAAAAATAGAATCTATTTTTTAATTAAAATTTTTAAAATAAACAAAAATACACAAAAACACAAATATAGGTACTTTACAAAAAAAATAAAATTAACATTGGCTGTAGTGTAGTGTACCGGTGGTAAAAGTTCGGGACGTGACATATGTCATTCGATTCGTCTCGACGAGCTGAGTCGAATGGTACCACTCCCTACTTTAGGAAATAATTCTGGACCGAGTTATAGGTCCCGAAAAATCGAAAAACCAAAGGGGGGACCAAGCACTTTTTTGGGGTGAAAAATTCGAAAATGCAAATTATAACTCATTCGAAAGAGCTCGTCGAGCTGAGTCGAATGACACCAAAATTAACAAAATCCGACTTGATTTGACAAAGTTATGACCGTTTGTTTTAGCTCCTTACCTATGGCATCTGTGAAGATTTTTGCTGCTACGGAGGCCCCAAATACGTCCAGAGCAAGGGAGATAGGAATAGGTTTATGTTACGAGCCCAGACCCAGCGCCCGTAGACTCCCCGCGAGGCGCGTGCCGCATAACCCCGCGCGAAGCGCGGGGTTTTGCACAAGCGCCTCGCCGACGCTCCATAGGTTTAGGTTTTTTGTTTTTTTGTGTCATAACTTTGTCTAATCTTATTCAATCACGGTGATTTTGGTGTCATTCGACTCAGCTCGTCGAGCTCTTTCGAATGAGGTATAATTTGCATTTTCGAATTTTTCACCCCAAAAAAGTGCTTGGTCCCCCCATTGGTTTTTCGATTTTTCGGGACCTATAACTCGGTCCAGAATTATTTCCTAATGTAGGGAGTGGTACCATTCGACTCAGCTCGTCGAGATGAATCGAATGACATATGTCACGTCCCGAACTTTTACCACCGGTACACTACACTATATCCTTAACATTTACATACAATATAAATAATCAAAGCACCAAAAATACACACAATTAAATACATACATTTAATTATTTATTTATTTCCCCTCTTTTTTACTTCCACTACTAATTTCTTCTTTCTTCTTCAAACTTCCTTCATTCTTTCGCAAAGAGCTACTAGCAGGCATATTAATTCGTAATGATCCAACAGCTGGAGCACCATCCCCAACAATTGAAGGAGAACCTAAAGAGCCACTTCCACTAAAAGTTCCCCCTCCTCCTCCATCCCTCATAGATCCAAGCATTTGAATATTTCCTTTAATTGACTTTTCTGAAGTTTTTGTTGGCCGAAATTCCAAGTCTAATGACAGAGAATTTTCACTTTTTGATTCGTTTATGTGAACACCAGAAATTATTTGTGGAGGGCCGCCAACAGTTTTTGATTCGATGTCGATTGAAAGTTCTGGACGGGATTTGGTTTTTTCTAATGGAATATCTTCTTCTTCTTTCTTTTCTTCTTTTTTTGGTTTTTCTGCTGTGCTTTTACGAGAAATTGAACGTGAACGAGAACGTTTAATTCTTCTTGTTTCCATTGCCAAAAGAAGCGCTTCACGTCTTGCATGAAACCATTTACACAAGCGAACACAGGAATACTTTAAATGAATTTTTGTCGAAATCATTTAAAAATCTTACAATTAAAAGACCAAATAACCCCATTCCAATAGCAGGAAAAACAAAAGTAACAATAACATGCCACCAATTAGTTGCTGGATGTCTTTCCCAATCATTCAAAATAGAATCCCACGATTTTGGCAATTTTCGGCTTTCTGCTTTTGGATCAATTAATTGAATGTTTTGTGCGGCCGTTGAAGTAGAAAATATTGAAGATAACACATTAAGGAAGAAGAAAATGTGAAGAAATGATTGTTTTGTAATTAATTTAGATAAAAACATTTTTGGATAACTTTAAAAAAATAATTTTTTGAAAAGGGAACAAAATAAGAAATAAACATACAAAAACTAGGCGATGAACAATAACGAGACACTTTTGATTAACAAACAAGAATAAAGAAATTTTTAGTGTTTTTATAGTGCAACAAACAAACAAACATGCAACAAACAAATAAAACAACAAGCAACAACAACAACAAACATAACAACAACAACACTCAAAAAAATAAAAAATATTCTTTAAAATTAACCTTTAACCCTCTCGCTAATTCCAATTGTCTAACTAACCGACTTTGATATTCCAATTTAGGCCAAATTAATTCTAAACATTTTTTAATACTTTCCTCATTAATATCACAAGCAATATGTACTTTTATTTGTCCCATAGAGACAATTCTGCTAATAACATCACGTAAAATAACAATTGTGGATAAATTGTCAGAACGATAACTAACTCTCCCTTTACTTTTTGAGGAAAATTAGAAGTATTTTTTTAATTTTCTTTAAAAACACCTATAATTAGCTTGTAATTGAGTTCCTCCATTAAATGTTGAACGAAAATTAAAAGTAACAGTCTCTGCCTGTGGACAACGCTCGGGAACTTCAGCTAAACACAAAGCTAACCAAGAATGGGCTTCTGCTATTGAAAATGAGCCTGTCAGAGTTAAAGAGTTTAGTACATATATATTCTCCATAAAAATATTAAATAAAATTCCCTTTAAAAAGTCTAAGAAAATGGGCAACATTCCCATTTATTTTTTAAAAACTAAAAAGTAATAAATAAATATAGTTTGTCCAAAATTTAAAAAATACTTTTAAACTTTAAAAATGCCCTTTTCTCTCGAAGTTAGTCTTCCATAAATTAAAAATTACTTCTTATTTTTTCTGAACTCAAAAGAAATTTTATTTCAGATCCCTTAATAAAAATTGTTTAAATTATTCCAATTATTTAATAAGTCTAATAAAATGACCAATTTAAATTTCAAGTCAAAGTTTAAAAAATAATTTTAGACATTTCGTGACTAAATATTTAACTTTAAATTCCTAAATTTATTATTCCCTCCCCCAAAAAAAATATTTAAATCCATTTTTAGAATTTTTTCTTAGTAAATTATTTTACCTAAACAACAACCTACCCTCAACCCCTCCCCCTTCCATTTATTTCTTAAAAATTTTCTTCCTACTTTCCTCCTACACGTTAAAAACTAAACACGCACATTTACACGCTTTTTTGCATTTTAAATAAGTTGAATAAAAATTATTTTGACTTTGAAAACTCAAAAATAAAATATTAAAATTGTTGTTGTTTAATAATTTTTAAGCTTTTTTCTAAAAAAATTATTTTTTAATTTTATTAAAAAATAAAAAATATCTTGGATGCGGCAAATTAGGCGCGCGATGCTTTTAACAAAACTTTTGGAAAAAATATTTTTGTACTGCTCCGAATGTTTGGCAGGTTTGTCCTCACTGTCCGTGATCATATTTCCATTACGTGGTACCATTAAATTATTAAAATTTTGTACAAAATCAAATAAAAAAATAATTTACACTTTACGATAAAATTGAGGCGAGTTAAACTAACAATAAATCGAGCGACGTGCCGCATCCAGTATTATTTTTAAAATCTATCTTTTACAAAAATAATATTAATAAATTTATGTACATATATTTCTGTCCTACAATAGTAAACGTACATACTATAGAACCCCATAAGTGAGACTTATAGAAAAATCTAAGGTTATATTTACGGTACTCGCTTTGAATTACACGAATTTTAATTATTTAATTTTTTTCTTTTCCCACCTTTTTTTTAATTTACAATTTAACAAATAATTATTTAATTAAAAAAATTTTTTTAAAGGAATGCCATTTCATCTTCCCCGACTAAATCCAATTATTTCTCAACTTATTCCAAAAACTTCAATAAATATTCTTCGGCTTCCCAAAAATTTATTTTTAAT